AACCGAGAAAAAAAATTCTCTAAAAAGTAAAAAAAAAAAAACAAAAAAAAAAATTAAGAAGAAGATGAAAGCGTTCCACATAATGGAAAACGTGCTTCTACCAAAGACGGCTGAGGCGAAATCACTTTGCAAAGACCAAAAAAGTAAAAAAAAAAAGTCAGAAAAACTTTAAAAATAAGAAAAAAGAAAACTTATCTTATCGAAATATTGTGAAGAATGTAATTTCTAAATCATTGTGTGATTTTCAAATGTAATTATATAATGTTAATTATATAATGAAAAAAATAAAGAAAAAATAAATTAAAAGAAAGAGATTTAAATGAGAAATGGGGGGAAGGGGGATCAGATATATATATATAGACTATATATTATATATATTTAATATAAGATTATATATTAGAAAATCATATTTCTTTAATAAGAAGATATTTCTATTTAGAAATCGTAAAAGTCATTATTGAGTCTAAGTTGCTATCAGTTGGACCGTAATAAGGAGGAACTGATTTTTTTCTAGATATATATATTACTGTTATGTTATTAAAAATAATAAATAAAAAAAGAAGAAGTGAAATGAAGAAAAAAATAAAAGTGATTTTTTGAAAATAAATGTATAAATATATAGGATGTCATAAGAGTCTAGTGCAATTTTTTGATAATTTGTATTTAATCGTATCATTTATATCAATATAATCACGTTTATTGAATTTGCATCGATACTTGTCCGAAGAATAATATAGTATTCTTATTTAATTTAAACGACAATTTGTTTATGCTAAAGAGAATTTACATTTTTTTTTTTTCTACTATAAATTTCCTTAAAAATAAAATCAAATAATAATATATATCTATATTATTCATAGTTTCCATTATTTCTTTATCGATAAATTATGCGATAGACTTTTGAGACAACCTAAATATCTATATTATATATAATTATATACAGATTCAAGCTTGTATCATATGATAAAGAGTGCTCTTCTGTTGCTATAAGTATGTAAGAGAGATGAGATACCTTTGTTACTACTGGTTGTTAAATATATCATAACATAATATTTATTTATATAATGAATTTTTTTATTCGCTTCAGAACCTGCTTAGATTTAAATTAAAATTAAGATTAAGAAATGTATTTTTTAAATATCTTTCTTTTGCTTTCATTTTAATTTATTGTTATTTATTTATGCTATTTTTTTATTTTACTTTTAATGTAAATTCTATAGTAAGAAGTTTTTGTCCTTTATAAATTTTTAATTATTTTTTTTTTTTACTTGAATCAATAGTTCCATATTTAGGCGCATAATTTTGGGCGCACAAAAATAGAATTTATTTTATCTTCTTAAATATTCAACATCTTTCTTTATATTTTCTTTCTCATAATTTGATCGATTAAAAATTGTCTTAATAGAAAAAAAACTT